GGATGTTTCTCTCCCTTCCCCAATACTGAAGACTGGACCCACACAGGCTTAGGCTGTTCTGGTGTTTTCCATGAGGACAGCTGACTGACACTGGCTGGGCCACTGGAGCTGTGTGACATCTTGCCTGGACCTTTGACTCTGCTCTGTACCGATTCCTGGGCCTGACTCACTGCCCTCCCAGCATCAGTCTCTGACCCAGGCCTGAGACCAGCTGCATGGTCATCTGGGAAGGGCTGCCAGGGAGACTTCCGGCTCTTCTGCCTGGCTTTTTTACAGGGCCCTATTTCACCACTGAAAAACGGATCATTAAATGACTGCATGATGTTTGGCTCGGTGTCCCAGGCCTGAGAGCCAGCTTCCCATCCAAATCCGAAAGGGTCTTCTACCTCCTGGGCTGGCCAGACTGGGAGCTGTGGCTCAGCAGCTGTGACGGGCCGACACCCTTTAGCAAGTTCCTCCACATCCACTTCCGAAGGCACGGCCAAATCCCAGGATCTGCGTTTCCACATGTCTACACAACGTCCTGCTTTAGCAATGTCCAGCTCATAAGGCTGACCTGCTTTTCTTTCTTCTTTTTGGCCAGAAGTCGACACTCTCATCTCAGAAGGAGGTGGATAGTCAGACCGCTCCTGCTGTGACCTTACAGAGGGCCACGAATACCTCTGGAGGCACCGTTTCATCGGGTCGGTATTCATCTTTTGCTTGTTATACAGCAGCCTGTTTGCAGTGCAGGCGACTGCTACAGAAGGATCGAGACACAGTGGTTCAGCTGTCTCTAAGATCAGTTGGCTCTCAAGTGGAAATTTGTCTTCCTGGCTCCATTTCTGGACATCTCTTGTCATTGTATTCACCTCATGGGCTAAAGTCGGCATCGCTGAATGTAGGAGAATATGCCTGCTTTGGTAACCAGAAGGTTGCATATTACTGGACTGCCTGTAGTCACGAACTTCTACTATGACACACCCACTATGAAAAATGTTAACCGAAGCTTTATCAAGGACATCGGCCAAAGCAGGGGGTAATTCTTCTGCATCCAAGTAGTTGAGCAATGTCCTTTCATCATAAGGCAGCGGAATGGTCTCTGCAAAGGACCCATCTTTTCTCTGGAGCATCACAGAATACCCCTGATTGCCTGGGTATAGATTGACCAGTAAACATGGCAAGGACTCTCTCCTAACAAGCTTTTCTAACAAGTTTACATTGCTTCTCAATTCCTGAGGATCCTCAGGCTCTTTTCCACATTCTTCTATATAAATGTCATAAAGTTTTTCCTGCAGAGTTTTTCCCGCCCTAGGTGAGTATCTCCTTCTAGGAGGTCTCTGTTGGGCAATTTCAATGATATTCTCTGCGCCATTCAGAGCCTGTTCTAAATCTCGATCCATTGTAACAGAAAACAGGGCCCCTAACAGGAGAGAAAACGCATGTGCGTTGGTGAAGTGGGGTGGATGTCACGGCTGTCATATTAATGTACAGAACCGCAAGATGCCGCAAGTCCACACTGAGTTCAACATGGGCATCTGCCCAGAAACCCGCCCCCAGGGAAGCGCTACCCAATCTGTTTGAGGGTTTCTGAAAACATCGGTACCTGAGGGGTCGTCGACCTGGCACTGGCTTCGCGTCTCTGCGGGCTGGAACGGGAGAGGGAGGGCCGGGGTCAGCTCCTGGGCACTGTCTGGGCACCTGCCCAGAAACCCGCCCCCAGGGAAGCACTACCCAATCTGTTTGAGGGTTTCTGAAAACATCAGTACCTGAGGGGTCGTCGTCG